CTGTACCTTACTAAGTAGACAGTCGCTTTTTTTACCTTTGGGCGGGATTGGAGACACTTAATTACTCGTTATTTTCTTGGTCCTCAGCTGCACTGTCTAAGGTGCCATTCAGTCAATTGGGTCTTGAATTGTTCATCCAACGCTTTGTAACGGCCAGGTTTGCTCGGAGCCCATTGCCGCGATGGGGATCAAAGGTCCAACTTCTGGGGTTATTCACTGGTCGATGTTATCCGAAGGGAGTGGGGTAGTTTGTGCACACTCCCTTAAGTGAATTCAGAGGGTCCTTGTTGGTAATTGGGTTCTCTGCGTGCACTCTCCTCTGTGCATCTTTGCTCATGCCATGGATGACCGGAGGGATGATCGATGTTTTTGGCAAGATGGGGTCAGCAAGATGAAGAAGTCTCCCCTTCTCAAAAGTAATCCAGCAAGCTTCCACCTCGATGCGTGTGGAGGATTGCCTTATACCATTGTTTAACCGGATTTTTCTTAAATGAAGTTTTGAAGCTCTCCTTCTATAGATCGTATATGTCGTCTGCGTGCTCGCAGACATGAAACTCGTGCCACGTTTTTACGTTTCCTCCGAAAAAGAGTTCTAGATATTCTATTCGTTCAGTGCCTTCTATCCAACGATTCTTTTCGCAGGCATACTCAAACAAGACGAGTCACATAGCCGCACCTGAAGATTCTCCGTCGAACAAATCTGGCTTTACTGTTTCTTCGAGTCTATGTGTGTGCGCTCTCAAAAAGAGTGGTGGTTTGGGCGAGTTGGTTTGACATCTTATACAATCTTGTGCGCACCAAAAACGAGGACAAAAGCAGAGAAGAGGACACAACAAGGCGCAACTTTCAACTGAATTTTATTTAAAACGTGTTCCGGTATATATAGCCTCAACCATCGTTACAATGACAACAAAAAGACAAATGTAAAGGAAAAACACCACGAAAGAGCATAACTGGGAAACAACACTATTTCGTTCTCAGGAAAAACAATTCCTTCTCCGATAATGCAATCGACGGCATAGCAACACACGTGTCTCCTAACTAGTCAATGTGCTCGGCTTCTGTGATTTCGCGTCTTACCGCTGACTTGCATTTCCCGATTTTCACACATTCATCCAACAGTGGGGTACAACCGCATGTTCTGTAATGCAAGTCAAGAAAATCACCGTTCTGTTTTTGCACGTTGTTATCGTGCTCGCGAAGCCGATCATTTAGGCAGCGCCCCGTCTGCCCGACGTAGTGCCATCCACAGGACAACGGAATGCGATAAACCACGCCATCTGTACAGTCGACACATTTCGTTCTGTGCTTCTTTTCACATCCGTGTTTGGCACGTACGCCAGGCTTTGATAGTTTGCACAGGTCCTTGAGCTTATGGGGCGCAGAAAACACTACCTTTACATTTGATCGCATTGCTACTTTCTTTAAATTGTGCGACACTCGGTGCATATACAGAATCACAACAACTTTTCCTTTTTGTCGTACCGGCTGGCTCCCATTGTTTTCCACGAGACAGTGCTTTCTTAGAAGGCCTTCCGCTACCGCAACAAGAATGTGTTTAGGATACCCAGCTGCGAGCAAGCGCAAAACCTGCTGATTAAAACCCTTGGGGATCAAATGCTCACAGGACTCTTTTAGTGCATTGGTGAAACGCAGGTTAACAATACTCCTTTTGACTAGCGTGGAGTGGGCTGAATGAAAGGGAAGTAACGGCTTATTCGCACGTGGCTCATAGCACTAACAGATGTGGTCGTTGAGAAATAAAGATCTGATGTCAAGGAAGCGAATAGTGTTGTCCACAGGTATCTCATGCGTGGCCTCGAGTGGGCCCAAACATTCCTTAAAAGTGGTCAGGGTTTTGACAGCCTCTGCTTCAAAAGCGTTTGTGTCAGATGCGATGAAAATTAAAAAATCATCTACGTACCTAAAAACGTTTTTTACCTTTGATCCCTGAAGCCGGCTGTTAAGAGTACTGTCAAGTTCTGCTAAATATATATCGCTTAGAACAGGCTCAATACACGAGCCGATGAATATGTCCTGTTTTTGCAAGTAAGGCTTGCCTCCCCACTGAATAAAAGTTGTTCGAAGATAGAAACTAAGCAATTCTAAGAAACCGCTGCTTGACATCCCAAGCTCATTTTGAAAGGCTACCACTCCAAACTTGTCGATGCACTCCTCTCCGCACGACAGCAAGCCGGAATGTGGGCAGGAGTAATAAAGGTCTTTCATATCAACCGAAAACGCCCTCATAGCGTTTCCTTTTTGAGTTCTTACGAAGTCTAGGACTTCTTCTGAGCATCTGACGAGGAAAGGGTCGTCAACGTGTAGCATGTTAAGTTTCTCTTGAATATATAGTGCGATTGATTTTCGCCACGTGCCTCTTTCGGAAATTATTACGCGTAAGGGCATTCCTAGTTTGTGGGTTTTGGCACTGAAGAAAACATCTAAACACTCGCGCGTGCTCTTTTCAATGCTCCTTACAACACTACTGAGTTCAAGTTCCTTGCACATTTTTTTTGCTTCCGACTTTAGTTTTGGCAGCGACACACTCCTGCGGCAATTAAACACCTTCTTAACAGCTTCCAGGGCTTTTTCATTGTACATACCATGTGAAAGAACCCTCAAAGCCTCCCTCCTTATCAGCAGGTAAGACGCAAAGGGAGTTATATTTCAGGTATGTCAACACTCGCTTTACGGGTACCTTGGTGCAGCCGGCTTGCAGGAACGGACGACGTCAACACCCTCAGACACGCAGGGGGCAGAGTCCTGTTCAGGGACGCGCCTCGACACCTCTCGAACTAGAGACAGCAGCTCGGGTGGCGACTTTTTTGGCTCGACAGCAAACTTGGGTCCAAGATGTAGAACTTGCTGGACGTCGTCTGGTAGATGGAGTTCCTCGGGCATGTGAAGCGCAGTCGACTGTGCGGGAGGCTTTTTTGGCAGGCGCTCACGAAGCTGACGTAGTTGCAACTGCCAGATGAACTCTGTGGTTTGATCCGCAAGTGTGAGGTACTCACGGAGCTGACGCCTCGCTGTCGAAGGATCCGCCCTGCTTTGAAGTTGTATGGCCAGGCACTGCCTCAAGATGCGTCTTGCCGAAGCTATTCGACTTTTAGAATTTTGCACACCGTGGTCCCGTGTCCCAAGGAAGGTAGAAGACCGCCAAACAGCGTACGTACGTCGTCAGGTAGAACTTTTGTCCGTATGCAAAACGACAGAGATCGCGCTCTGCACATGGCTGTGGCGATGAAGGTGACTGTGGCACACGGATCACGATTGAAACGCATAAAACACATAAACGCAGATAGTGTTGTTTCATAGTTATGCTCTGTCATGGTGTTTTTCCTTTACTTTTGCCTTTTTCTTGTCATTGTAACGATGGTTGAGACTATATATACGGGAACACGTTTTCAATAAAATTCAGTTAAAAGTTGCGCCTTGCTGTGTCCTCTTCTCTGCTTTTGTCCTCGTCTTTGTTGCGCACAAGATTGTAAAAAAAGCGCTCTCAAAGTTTCGGTCATCATGGTTATAAAGGGTATATGTTGTTCTAGTTGAGGGAATTACATTTGTAGCAGTTGAGTAACTACGGCTGTCATGTCCTGGCTACCCGAAGCTACTTGACGTGATGTGGTGGTCGGCTTCTGGAACCACTCTTGGGAATCCAGCATCTCGATGATCAATGTGACTGTTATTTTTCAATTTATGTCTTCTGTAGACACTCCAATTTTACTGGAAAAAATCTGATGAGCTCCCAGCTCCAACCCAGCGGACTTAGGTCACCTTGTTCTTCTTTGTACAACTACAAGATAGGTTGCCCTTCATCTCTATGAGACAAACACACTGGATTCACATCCTTCAAAGGATCCTGTCCGCTGCGCCAAATGTACATCTTCCTAACAACTCACACAATGGGAATAGAAGTTTCTTTTTTTTTCTGTTCATTCTTCTTTATCTATACTTGTCGTCTTCCTTCTTGTTTTTTTATCTTGAAGCTGTAGATTTATTTGATAACTCAAAATCATAAAACACTTTTCGTTTGAAGTGTTTATTACACTTTTTTCAGTTTTACCCGAATATAGAGAACCGAATTGTTTAAATAATTTTTCAGTCAACGCAACATTCTTGACGGCTTTAAAAAACCGGACGGAAACCTTTTAACTTCGTGTACTGCCGGACTGCCTGTGCCATTTCTACTCATGTGGCAAGTTCAGGGGTTCCAAATGCTTTTTTTTAGTGCAACCCTCGGCATAAGTTAACCAAGAGACGGCACCACTCATTTCCCTATCGCTATATCCTCGACTTCTAGGTGGAGCGCCTCTTAATTATGTCGCACACATTTAAAAAGGTAACTTCAGTGGCAGCATATGTTTGCTTTTTTTTTTTTTGCGTGGCCTACAGCAGGTTACTTATAACCTCCAACACATTTTGAGCAAATTAAGCTATGAAAAACACACAAAAAACATTTCAGTAACCTTCAACAACGATTTATTGAAAAATAAGTTCCCACCACCTTTAACAGATAATGAATCAAACATTCCATTGAATATAAAAAAGAAATAGTGGATTCATATGGAGAAATGGAAAATAAAGTCGATTTAGGGTGCTCATTACAACATAAACGAAGGCACGTGTTTCAACGTTTTTCAAGTGTTAACGCTCAACATTTCTCAATTAGTGGTGATAAAAAAGTCATCCACTTTTACAGTTTCATTAGCACTTCTTGAAATCCAACAACTTGTTAGCCTAACAAAATATAAAATAAGTTTAGTTGCCTAATAAATCTTCGAGCGACAAAAATGCGCAAGGTATTTCATTCTTGATCCAAACAGCTGTCGTCAAGGGTATTAATTTTGTTTGTACCTCATAGTACGTTGTATATAAAATCACAACTGGTGAATTGTTTTCTGGCTTCACTGCTTCTTCAGTATATGTGAAAATTACGCGTAGTTGGCTATTAAAGCTTCAAGCTTAAAAATGCGCAAGCTATTTTATTCTTGATCTTAACAGCTGTCGTCATGAATTTGGATTTTGTTGGTACCGCATAGTAGGTAGTATATAAAATCACAACTAATCAATTGGTTTTCCAGTTGGCTCTCTGGAACGGCGACACAGCATGCAGTGTCTGCAATGGTTAAAAGATGTGGGTTAGGCACCAGACATGTCCTCGCTACTCTAAAAGTATACATGTGTCGCTGATTGTCCCTTGATAATAGACTAAGATTTAACGGGTTATTTTATGTCAAATAAAATAATCTAAGTAAGCCATGGTTTGGTTGCTTTTGCCTAGAGTGCTGTTGCAATCAGAATCACTATGAACAACACGAAACGAACGGTCTGCTATTTTTGTTTTAATTTCTTGGGACAGGTTAACCGAAACGCTGTTTTTGCATATCATTAACACTGATCGAACAAATAACTTAAAATGTGCCACTGTTGCGGCAGTGGGAAGAAATAGACCATGTCAGCGGGAAAGGTTATTGACGTTGCTAAGATGTTTCGTGGCTCCCTTTTATTCAGGTTTGGAAGTTGTGGCTACAACGAGGGTCACGCTTTGCGAAAGGAAAAAAAAAACAGTATCGATATAGTTCTTTGACTTTAGTTTGTAGTAAATTTTAGTTAGACCTCAGCTCACGGAAATGTCAAAATATATAGAAGCCTTCCTTGACATCTTCTGTGCTTTTAAACATAGAGGGGTATTATTTTAATTAGGAAGTTAAATTAATTTTTAGATTAGGAATCAAGCTAAACAAAAAAAAAATGTTTTTTTTCGCTCATGAATAAAAACTTTGGCAGGTGATGCATAAGTTTTGATTCATCGGCTGTAAACTTTTTAATAATAGATAATACAGTCGAATGAACTGTTTTATTAGCAAGAAATTTCGGAATCTCCTTTTTCCTAGGAGCACATAACTTTTCAATATGCTTCCAACCTGCCGTAGCTCTCCGCTTATCGTCGTAGATGAACGAGGGCGGCTGGTGACAAGATCAAAGTCCCGCTAGAGGAGCGAAAGTTCCAAAAAGTTTTGCCAAATTTCAATAAAGCCGGGACCTCGGGCCATCAAATGTTTTAGCTGTTCTCCAATATAAATAAACACCTGAAGGGTAAACGGTTTTCCTCCGACGTGGAGGTTACCAATGGAGTACGCCATTGGTGTCGCGAAAAGCCGTCCTTAAGCATCTACGACGGGATCCTGGAAGTAGTCCATTGGCAGCTGGAATGCGCCGCCGCTGGCGGGAACTGTATTGAAATGCTATGTGCCCATAGGAAATAGGAGATTCTAAGTTTTGATTTGAATGTAAAATTGTTGAATTGCATCATTGATTAAAAATACTACAGCCTAGAAGGCAAAACTTATTGATCACCCATTCGTGTCATTCGCTTTTTAAAATAAATACTGGATACGAGAATTTTTTAACGATTTGTTCAGAAGTTTTCGTATTTATCTGTAATAGGGTATTCTATATACAGGCACCATTATACAAGTCAAAAGGGGTCTTGACAAAATGTAGATTGGATTGATTAGGCCATTGCTTGCTCAACCTGGGCGACAACGTGAGTTGGGGCAGAGATGTTGGTGTTTGTTACGTTCTTAATAAAGTGAGAAAAATAGCATAACTCGCTACTCGGAAAAAGTACTACGTTACTCGTCCCTGTTTTCTAGAAGGAATAGCCGTTACTTCTTTAGCCCAGATGTCATCAAATGCAAGTAATGTGTTAGTTGTAAGGGGTCACGTACTGTTTCTGTCGGACTCCTCCTTAAATAAACTTCAAATCTGCTACCAAGATTGCTCATCTTGAAAGTGTAAGATGTGTTTACAAATATGAGACTTCACGTACCGCTAACGTAGAGGTTCCTTGTGACACCGCACTTTGCATCCGGATCCATGTAAGCCGTATACACGGTCAGCGTGTCACTTTCTGCAATGTCGGTGTTGAGAGAAGCCAGGATAGATGTTAGGTGAGTTAATATCTAAAGATTTCCCATTGACTTAAATAAAATTCTCACTACAGATTGTGCCAGAAAACACGGACATAACAAAAAACTGCATATTAAAACATTGGGGCATTAAGAGGTTTATTATTAGTAAACCAAATGCAAGTTAGTTGGCATTGAACGCATATACTCACGGCCTTCGGGAGAAAGGATAATCCGATTCGTTACGGTATATCCTTCTGAGGGTTCAAGCATTATCTTCGTGTTACTGCAAATAATGTCAAATAAAATGGTTGTAAGAATAAATTGAAAAAACAAGAGAAAAGACTAAATTAAAACAAATTATAAATAACACACTAATATTTCAATTAAAAAAAGGCAGACAAAACTTAGTGTTTGCGTCTTTTAGATTCTCACGTCATACCGAATAGCGCTTACCCAAATAATTTAAATTCGTTATCAAATTCGTGTTATTCGAGCTTCCGAATTTTCGACACATCGAATGCCGCTGTAAATCAAGATAGGAATATTGAAGATCGTTACCATTTTAGGGACATATATGCCCTTTTAGGGTTCTGCTAAATTTATAGCAAGCAAGCATTAAGAAACCTTTAATGACTGACCGCGTTGAAAAATGAAACTAGGCTGTTTCTTTTATGGAGGAAGAAGTCACAGGCCAGACATACCGTTCCATCAGTCTGTGCATTTTACACTGAAATTCCTTATCCACGGCCATAATTTGTCAGTTGGATGGTGGCTTCGACGAAAGATTTTCATCTACGCCAGCCTCAAAACAGCCGGGCTCAACAGAACGTTGGTCAGCGCTGGAAGAATCCTTCAAGCTTGGCAGCTGCAACGGAGCTTTAGAAGGCCTCTTAGCAACTACGGCTGCTCCAGTACCATGGTGAGCGGCGGCTTTCTTCTGCAGTTGCACGAATCAGCTCGACCTAGCCCTGCGTGTCTGACAGCGTAATCGCTGGAACCCAGTACTGCCGGCCAGTCGTTCAATCGTAGCGCAGTTACTCACCATCCTGACCAGTTACCTGCCCAAGTGGCTCGCGCCGATACTTTAGAGGAGTGCCTCGACCTCCCGACTACGTTTCACACACTTCAGCGAATTCCCTTATGCATATGGATTCTCCAACGATCCACATGATAGAGTGCACGACATGTAACAAGTCTATAATCAACGAGGGTAGGCACATGTCGTGTTCGGATTGCAAGTCCAATTACCATCTGGGACAATCTTGCTCCGGGATTGCTGATAAGACCTTCATCACCATGGGACAAACGAAACGAGAAAAATGGAAGTGCCATGCGTGTCGTGGGAAGGATGGTCAGGTGGGAGCATCTGAGCCGAAGTTGTCATGCTCCTCTGCAGGAATAGGACTGCTCTCTTCACAACTAACAGCTATGAATGAGAAACTGGAAGGATTACTGTCATTGAAGGGCAGCGTCGATTCCCTTATGACACTGTCGGCCAAACTAAACGAACTTTTAGCCCTAAAGCCCATTGTCGAGAGTCTAAGGGACACGGTGAACGGCCTACAACACTCAATGGATTTCTTTTCGGCCGACTATGACCGCCTCCTCAAGTTGGCGACCACCAACGAACAGAATGGCAAAGCCCTGCAAACGGAGCTTTCTCATTTAAAGTCAACCGTGGAGGCGCAGGCAACCGAGATCCAAGAGATGCGGGTCGCCCTAAACGACAACGAGCAGCACAGCCGTCTGTAAAACCTGGAAGTGCACGGATTTCCTGTCTCACCTCACGAAGATCTTATGTCGTTTGCTGAGACTCTATCGAAAAAACTGAAGATCTCAAACTTTCAGAAATCCGACATTCTTGCTCTTCACCGTTTGCCAGCCAAATATGCAAAAAAATCCACCGATTCTGATCAAATTCGCGTCTGTCCACGTGAAGGAATCCTGGATGGCAGCGCGGGGTACGCTTCGTTCGCTGGGTCAGGTTAGTTCTCTTCCCAGACTGTACTTAAATGACAACCTGACCCACGCGAACAAGGAGCTGTTTTGGCGGGCAAGACAGAAGGGCAAGGAACAGGGCTATAAGTTCGTCTGGGTAACCAGAGCTAAAATCTACGCAAAGAAGGCGGTGGGTTCTCCTCCTGTGAGAATTAACAGTTCGCTAGACCTTGAAAAGATTATTTAGATGTATGGCAGATTTCGCTCAGGTTTCAAACTTTTCATCTCTTCGAAATTTTTTTGGAAATTGTGAGGAAACGTTTTTTTCTGTAGTACACGTTAATATTCGGAGCATACGTAAACATTGGGCAGAATTCGAAGTTACCTCAAGAGCAATTGCTTCTTCAGTAGATGTATTTGTCTTAACAGAAATTAACATCCCCTCTTTTGCAACAGATCAGTTCTCTTTACCGGGTTATCGTGGTACTTTTTACACTCGAGATATGGGTCATGGTGGTGGTATCGCAGTTTTCGTGAGTGATAAATGGTCATTTTCAAATATTTCGTTGACGTTCGCTCAGGCCGAGTTCATTGCCCTTTCTGTGGAGAATTCGATCAATTCCATATGTTTGCTCGCAGTGTATAGACCACCGTCCACAAATATAGCGTCTTTTCTCGTAGAACTTGAAGAAAACATTAGTGATCTGAGTTCGTATGGTCAATTATGCATTATAGGAGACTTTAATATTGATATCTTGAATGGGTCTAAATCTAATGTATGCAATTACCTCAACACTTTGGAAACTCACGGTATTGAGTCCGTTATTAATTGTCCAACACGTGAAGAGTTCCTTTTAGGGAGACTTGTTTCCTCATGCATTAACCACATTAACCTAAGAACATCTTCGACTATCGTGAAATCAGCAGTTATTAAGGAAAAACTTGCCGACCACTACTTTGTGGCCTGCCGCTGGTCGATCGGCGTTCTTAAATCGCGCGAAACATCAGGCCGCATTAATGTTACAGGTATCGACACCACGGCCTTTGATAAATTGGTCTCAGCTTTTGACTGGAACCACTTTTTGAGGACCGTTAACTACACCGACGTTTATCCAAAGTTTGTGCTGGTTTTCAAACAGTTCTATGAAAGATGCCGGAGAGAAATATTCGTAAAGAAACGCAACCCTGATCTTGTATGGCTGAATGCGAATATTTTAGATGCGATAAGGGAAAAAAATGCACTATGGGCTCGCTGCCGTCGTTCACCCAATGATGCACTCCTACGAATACTCTTTAAATCCTGCCGTAACAAAGTAAACGCGATGATTCGATCAGCTAAGCGCATTTCTTATCACAGAAAATTCTCCCAATCTCATTCGGATGCCCGTAAAACTTGGTCTTTGATAAATGAACTCCGTGGACACCAAAGACACTCCATTGATGATACGCTGGAACGACATTTTGGAGATAATTTGCAATCGATTGTAGAGGATTTTAACGTTTTTTTTGCTACTTTTTCTGGTCAGGCGAGAGATAGCCTAGATGCATTTGATAACCTAGTCTCTTCCTCAGCGTTCCTTCCGCCTTTTCAGGAAGCTGATCTATATTCCATTTTGTCTAGTTTCAAGAACAACAAGTCCCCTGGGATAGACGGAATTCGCTTATCTGACCTTCGCAGAAATATTGACATTCTGAAAGACGTACTTTTATTTATGCTAAATGGTTTTATTGAAACCAAGATACTTCCCGATGAACTTAAAACATCTATAGTACGTCCTTTGTATAAAGGTGGTACCAGAAACAATATTGCCAACTATCGTCCGATTTCTCTCTTGCCCATCTCGCTCAGATCCTCGAAAAGCATGTGTTTAATATAATGACATCTTTTTTAGAAAAATTTAATATCTTATCTCCAACTCAATTTGGTTTTGTGCAAGGAAAAGGCACTCAGCCTCTTCTAGAAGGTTTCGCAGATACCCTATACTCAGCATTCGATCACAATCTTGTTACCTCCGCACTATTCTTAGATGTTTCCAAAGCTTTCGACACAGTGAGCCATACGATACTGTTGAAGAAACTGTACAGCATAGGTTTTCGTGGTTCATTTTTTTCCCTTCTTAAAAACTATCTTTCTCATCGCTCTCAACTGGTGTGTGCATCTGGATTTCAGAGTTCTCGAACTGAACTAAAAGCCGGAGTACCACAGGGGTCTATTCTATCACCTCTTTTGTTTAACATCTTTGTCAATGACATCGCCACCATGGTACCGGGATGTAAGCTATATCAATACGCGGACGACACTGTAATTATGACTCAACACATCAAATATGCCAGTTCCATCAGCCAGTTACAATCTCAAGCAATAGCAATTATGGACTGGTTCAAAAAAACCCTTCTTGATATTAATGTTAAAAAGACAAAACTAGTATGCTTCTATAATCCACTCAAAACAGTCACTCTCAACATTCCATTAGTTCTGCACTCTTCTTTCTGCCATCAATGCAACTGCATTCCGGTTGAGTATACAGATAGCGTGAAGTATCTAGGCATATATTTTGATAGTGGTCTGAAATGGAATGTTCATTTTGCATACATCTGTAAAAAACTGAGAAGCATTAGTTGCCTATTATATAATACAAAACATTTTTTTCCTGTATCTGTTCGAAGAATGATTGCCCATTCGCTTGCATATAGTGTCCTTCGCTACTCGATCACCGTTTTCGGCCATTCTTCTGGCTATTGGAAAACCAAGGTGGACTGCATCCTGAAAGCTATCCTGAAAAGTATCTCTTATAAACTTAAAATACCTGACAACGTTAATCTTTTCGAATATTTGCAACTACCCAACTTCCAAACCCTTTATGTTCATTCAGTGGTATTGCGGCACTTTTGGAATTCTGATTTCAAAATCTTAAGCCCACCCACACGTGATCTTCGACATACTCACTCTTTTCACATACCTTTTTCCCGCACTCGTTATGGCGAAAGTACGCGTGCGTTTTATGTGCCATATATTTTTTCTCACTTACCACCTCAACTTCTAAACCAAACATCCCTGGGCAAAGTTAAAAAGATGCTTAGAGGTATTTCGTTTTAATAGCGAACTATTGGTTTCGTTTTAGTAGCGAACTATCGCAGACTCATTTTGCTAAGTAATGTGTGCCAATATTAAGCGCCTGCCTTTCTGGAACATTAATGAATATTCTGCTGTTTGTAGGACATTTTAACAGAAGACCTTCCGTGATTTTTTTGGTGCATATTTTCCAGTTTTGTGGTATTTCATTTTGCTTTGACATTGCTATTGATTTCCGTTTTAGTCTGTACATAATATCTTTTCGCGTAAAATCTTCAAGTTATAACTAGAGTGACTAACTTCATGGAATTATGTTTTACATATTTTTTTGTCTGTTTTATATTATTGTATTTTGAGTAACTACCCATGCTACATATCGTTTTTTTTTATTGGAGGATGGCGTCGCACAAGCCACGTGTTGGCTTTGATGCATCCGCAATACCAAACTTTTCTATGATGGTAGCAATAAACAATTATTATTATATCTGATCAGAAAATCATTAGTTTCTTGCATCACCTACTCGAAGTGTACAAATCATTCCATCCCCGCTGCTTCTATTATTACGGGCAAACACTTAAATTGACACATATGTTTTCTCCCTTGCTTGAGATCGGCTGCCGGTTGCGTTCGTCAGCAATGCCAACTGATTGTGTTTTTAACGGCGTTATTGAACATACCTCAAAAGGTGACTAATTCGATGGGAAAGCCTCCGGACCAGCGGAGAGCGGAGGGAGCTCACAAGCTTGTTTGAAATCTTAACCGGACGCTCTCTGTCGCCCCCAATCACGTCACGCACGGGTGACTCGGAAGACGGCGTTAGAATTAAGGTGTCCCACGAACTACAATTAATCGGTCAAAGTCCGAAAAACATAGCAGGGCTTTGATAGGAATGGTTCTGTCATATCTGTCCATTAGCCCACTGTGGACGCTCTGTATCAAAAGCGTCCTCGTGTGGACACGTGTAGTTAACACCTTCTTTACCTGCGTCTCAAGCGCCGTTTTTACTCCTGCTAGGCGCTCTTCGTTCTGTGTGCTTGAAAAATATAAACATATAGGCTTTTTTTATGGCTTAATAGGTGTTTTTGTTTGGTGAATGTGAAGACAATATTTTGCTATTCGATATTTGATACGTCATTCACCTTTTATACCACTCCTCAGAACTAAAGTATTCGATTTTGACTCGAGTTAAACGTTCATTATTTGCACACCCGTAATTAAAGTCATTAGAGCTAAACAAAGGCAAAGCGTGGCTTGTGATGTTCCCACTCTTTGCACAGTGATTCGGTCTTTAAGCTGGTTATCGGTGGATATTGCAACCTGATTGGCTGGAGAGAAATAATAAGAGGTTTGGGACTCGCCACGAATAGCGTTTTCAAGGTCTGAAGGACCATAGTGAAAAGTAAAAGATATGCTTGGTTAACTATTCTATATCTCTTAATTTTATTTCATTTACACAGTACGGATTCGTGGGACACACCTGATGTCATGCGTCACTCAAGTCGTCTAATTCTTATATAAATTTCTTATAATGCTCAAATACTTTCCCTTTCTCTTTGTGACACACTTTTTTTTTCGAAAACATTTGGTGCAGATTCATTAAATGTGCTTGATTATCCTCAGTTTTCAGGGGTTGATTCGTGTAAGGTAATACCCACATAGGTTCGCTGTCCTCTCCAGACTTGAAGGTGACCGGATATTCACCATCGGTTGCCGGATTCTCCTGATTAAACCTTACACATTTATCAGTGCCAAATACAGGGTCATCTTCGTAGTTTCTGTACAGGATGTACCAGGTTTCAGTGAGCGGGAAGCCCTGCGCGTTGACGTCGAAAGTAAAAAAAAACATGATTTATTATTTTAAAAAAGAATATACATTGCGTAGTTTTATTTATGAAACGCTAAATTTCTGATTTGCGTTGGGCGAGCTCAAAGTTAGTCGGACATTAAAAAATAAGCAAAATATTTCCGAATGATAAATTGATGCAGTAATTTAATGAGAACTACTCAAAATGTAAAAGATTTACGTTAGAAAACATTCTCTTCCATCTGAAATGAAGCGTAACTTGCGCCCTCCAGGCGACTGGTTGCCGTTGAAAAAATGTGATGGTCAGGTATACCAGAGCATTTAATTTTGTTTTTAGGTTCAAGTCGATTGATGGTTAAGAGTTATGAATGCACATATATACAGTCTTTTAGTGTGCGATTTATTTTAAAAATCGCCCACTCTTTACCCGTCTTTTAGACCTAAAACCATTAGAAAGTTTTAGAAAAGAAGTTACTGATGTAAACGACATCGCATGTAAACAGTAACTTTTAATATAAAACTTATATAATTTCCAGCCAGGAATAAGCAGATAAATGCGTTAAATAATATGCATTCTATTGTTCTAAATGTTTATGCTTTTGACTCTTCACTTGCCAACTTGAAAGTCAGTCAAAGTTCTCATACCTTAGACATGTCCTGAAAACTTTCGAACTCAGGATTCAGCTCTGGGTAATTCGGTTCTTCGCTGCAGAAACAAACCTTCAGGAGAGTCGCGACTGCCAAAAAGTGCAGAGACATGGCTCACGTGGTAATAGGCCACCGTGTAAAAAACTATGAACCGTAAAACCGTATTGTTACGACCCTTGCGCTGGTTTATATAGCTGGTATACAAGGAAGCCTCTATTGCATTTTTATTTATGAGCAACTGTGCCGTCGAATCTCCTCCTGAACCCGTCATTAAAAAATACCATGAAATATAATTAAAACCCGAAAATGTGCAAAATATTCATAGCGGAAAATGCAGTGTTGTTCTCCTAGGCGTCCATCAACATAATGGTGACATTCGTAAACAATTAAAGTAGAAAGAAGGCATGCTGAACCAAATTTCGGGAACTGAATGTCATCAGTGAAAAATGGCCCTGAGTATTAAAGTGTCAGAAATATAACGTTTACAATTGGCACATGCCGGAGCCTGTAACGCGTTTGCTGTTCTCAGTGGCGTAGAGGAAATACGCGTAAATTGAACGGGAAATATGTTGGTTTTAAGTGCGGAACCAAAAAAATGGTATCTGACGGGTCCCTGGAAAGGTCTGAAGATTTAGACTACCTCGAAATTTCTCGAAGTACATCAGAAAATTGGGATAGACAGCGCATTCTCGGCAATAAGCATCCGTCAGGTTGCTGGCACTCCTGCCGGGATACTGAACCGAGAACTCGTGATCCGTACAACCTATAATCTCAAAACGTTCGCGTGTAATTACATACCTTGTCCCACACCCCCAAAACTACAATTTGACGCTCAGTCCACTGCCTCCAAACCGACGATACCAGCTTTCTCGAGCGGCTTGATAGTCAATTGATACAACTTATTAAAACTGCTAATATAGAATTAAAGACTACAGAAAAAACTCAAGGTTTCGTTGTCCTTGCTGTAAAACCTGAGAGTTTTTTTTTTAGTTATTTATTCGTACATTGGATATTTAGAAAGTTATATCACACAGCTGTTGAGCTGCTCGTAAAAGTTTGTATCATTGGTTCTACGTCAGCGGATTGACGCCGAAATATAAAACAAAACAAAAAAATCTGCGCTGTGGCACTGTGCACGCTCAAGCGTCGTGCTAAATCCCCAAGCTCCTACAGTGTACTTTTCTAAGCTGAAAAACGATCCCACATAAGTGAGTTTTAATATTGAGTATACGAGCAAACAGAAGCACTGTGCGCTTACATTAGCGTTGAGTGTTCAAGGCTTCGCGCGCGCGGTAGCCCAAACTGCGTCCTAGATTGACGCATGGTGATGACGCGCATGCGCAAAGTAGGGCACGCAATGCGAACGCAAATGCGCAGTGCTAGCGTTTGCTCCTATAGGCAATATAAAATAATACAGAAGTATATGATGTGTCTTTGCAGCGGCAATACCTGCACGACCACATGAGCTCCGTCAACTTCGACACTCATTGCTTGCGGGTACACGCCAGGCCACCAGAGTATTCCTGACAAAATGTAGGCATCCATATTGATTGCATCCACGATATTCGCCTTGAAGATGTTATCGGAGAAGCCGAAAGCACGAACACGTGCGTTGGAATATAATGGTCCTTACTTCACAATCGTCAAAAGAGCTACATCAAGAAACAGGCAATGGAATGAATCCCACATTCTATTATGTCTGGAGGACATTCCTCGTCATCGTTCCTTGGTGTTTTATTTGAATAATTACAAGTACTGATCAGGTCTGTAGCAGTGTTGCCAAATTAGCGGATTTTTTGCCGTTTACGGGAGAAATGGTTGTTTTGGGGGTGGCAGAAATTGTGGCCGTTTAAAGGTGATGTTATCGCTTTTTGCGGCCGTCCTGAATTATTGGAGTTTACATTTCTGAAATCTAGATAACCTAATTTTTTGGTAAGTTAGTGTAATCCAGTTGTTATTTTGCTCACTGTCCAAAAATGGGTTACAATGGGTTACAAAACTCGAGTTTTGTACTTGTCTCGAGTACAAAACTCGAGACAAGGTTTTAAGGGACTTATCAGTGAATGCATACATTATTTTTCATAGTCTGCTATACGAAATGCGACGAGTGAATTATCCGAACAAAAATTCAGAAATCAATATCGGGGCACTGGGATTCCGAGCTTCGAGATCGGTTACAGGACGCTCCAAGCGATGTTAGACGACTCAGATACACTAGAAAATATTAATTTGTCCAAGGCACGTAAATTTGCCCACTGAAGCTCTGAGCTACCACCATATAGCGCAGTAAAAATTCAAACGATTGAGGTCTACGTACTACTGCAGGCATGGCAAGACAACACACCTGCTGACAGGAAGAACATTCATTCAAGCGATATGTGTCGAACAAGGTATCTTTCATTTAAAAGTTTTGTTACTTATTATACTATGTCTAGACCAATCAATAGAGTGAATGCTGTGCGCCTGGAATTTAGTGGTTTGTAGCTGTTTTTCGGGATTTATATTGTGGGTTTTTGATTTTTGTGTTGGCAACGCTGGTGTGTAAGCGTGTTCCAAAGAAATGTGAAAACTAGCCCACGTGGTTCTTGAGAGGTGCTGCGCCTCCTGCAGGCCTCTAGAATCTCATAAAACTGCGGGGTGGAGAGTAGGACTCTGCGAGTATGAGGGTCCAACTCGGATATGTTCGAACCTCTCCCAGCAAGTCGAAAGCTGGACGCTGTACGGGTGGTGTGCTGACGTTCCGTCACTGTTCGCATTTTATTCGAAACCGATAGTACGTATATTTAAATATGTTTTTATTTAGCACTGTTGGTGCAAAAACCTTTCTACAGACTAGCAGTGATCAACGCTAAATAATATTTTATAAATATATTACTGTTGCTTTTTGCACGTTGCTGTATTATCTGGTCTTTATAAATAAAAAATAATATAAACAAATAAAATGTATCAAACCTAAGAAAAGAGTACGTCATAAGCTATATATAAATGTCCGATAAAAGGAACAAATAAATCGGAGCGCACGTCGCAGGGAAGCCACGATAGCCATCTATTGCGCTGAGTACATAAGTAGAAATCACCTGAATGTGGATGAAAATATCATGTATTTTTTAGGCACGGATCATTTCACTGAGTAGAAATGTTTCTGCACAAAATATTGTGCTTGATGAACTCCATATTGCTTACCTACCAATTACAGTTTTCTTATAAATGAGAATATCTGTGCTCTCCAAGAAAAAATATCAATGGCCCTTTCTTTTTAAGGGTTGACATCGTCATCAGCCAGTAAACTTTAAACGTTAGACAATGGGTACTGAATATATATTACGCTTTATTTTACTCCAAACTGTGTGAGTGCATTTTAGTCTGGGGCACGACATCAGCAACCAATTACAATAGGTTGATCATCTTACAAAAAAAAAATTCTATGACTATTTGAAGATATAAACGTAATCCTTAGGATCTCTCAACTGAACCGCTATTCAGCAAATATGGCCTACTTAAAGTGAATCAAACTTATTATTTTAAATTATTGCAGATGAAACGCACAAAAAAACTCGTCGCAATTCCGCCAGAAAAAACAACCTACCACACACTTGGACATTGAATCAGACGACCTCGAAAAATACGTACGAATTACGGGAAACAGATGACAAGCTTCCAAGTCGCCAACATTTTGAATAATACAGAAGATAATATAGATTTCAACTTCAATATGCTCCAATTAGAAAAAAGACTAAAGACACTTCTGGTGGGCAGTGACATTGTGTTATTATATGTGTGTATTGTGCACATATTAAATCATGTTCATATTTCGCCTTTGAATTGTTTAAACATGTTTCTGACTAACTTTTTATCAATCTTTGCTGAAAAAAACTATCGTGGGATAATTGATTGATCCTGTTTTCTTGCTGTTTCTGAGTTGTATGGGATTTTGTAGCTTTTTTTCTCTATTTTTCTTGTTCAAAAATCTATGTATCCTACACTGTTGTGTTTGAACTGTAAAGGGGACAGAGACCTCGTCAGGCATCACGCCTTTAGTTTCTGCACACCTCCCGGTCAATCGGGAAAAGAAAGAATAAAGAAAGGAAGAAAGAAAGAAAGAAAGGAAGAACTTAAGTAGTGTATACTGCAGTTAGGACGTTAAACTGTGGTCACATGTGTGTGAGTCACACCTACTTGAAAAAAAAAATATCATGGATAACCAGTTTGCTGTCAACACAAAATAAAACACATTAGCTTTTTCTAATATCCTCCCATATTCACAGTGCTGAGAAGTTAACTACAAATAAGTTAAAGTAAGTAGAGTTTGTTATAAGGATGAGAGTCGAAAGTTTCAGAGAAATTGTATGAACTTCTTTTTGAAAGATTATGCCGACCTGGTATTGGAAAATGTTTGCGCCAAGTGCTCTTTTTAAGCAGGCACTTACGACTTAGTTGTAGTTCTTAATAAGATTTTCTATAGTCACTGATCTATTAAGATACACAAGGTGTGGCAAGTAACGATTAGCTTGACATTGCTCCATAGCCATTGAGATTGCTTCGTTAGCCAATAAGAAAGCCAAAGCACGAAGTACGAAGCAAGAAGCCTGAACATAATTTGCAAAGTCCTGCCTTTCTTGAGGTTTCATTGACTGCAGGAACCTAGTTCGCGACGGTCTGTTTTTCGTTAGCGTTCAGTGAGGGCTCGTCCTATTTCCAAGTTTTATCAGTCTACGCCTTTTCTGCCCAGTTTTTATAATTTATAATATTCAACCAACTCGGCTGCATAGCCACCGGTGTTAACATTACAGGCACCTTGCGAATTTCCTTACGATGCGGGTAGCGAGAAAGTGATACCGAAAAACACTGGTGTTGAAAGCAAGAAGTGAACTAGTGAGGGTCCAGTAAAACATTTTTTTTCTATTTTGGCATGGGGCGCTCACAGTGCAGGAGTGAAGCTGTAAAAATAAAATCATTTTGACTTACTCATCTCATGTCTCTGAGGAATGACACAGAAGCAAGAGGGTATAACTAAGGGGTTATATTCTGTATACGTGAAAAAAAATCTTTGGCAGGTATCTTGATGCATGATTAGCTGTGCAAATTATAAATTTAAAACACAGTGGCAGCAA